AACTTCATTAATTTTAACAAGTAAATTACAAAGAAAACATTGAATAAGGCAAAATTTTGATTGATATGTATATATTTGGAGAATATAGTAACATTAAATATTCACGTAAAATAAAAGACCAGGTGTATTAGAGAACAGAAAACAATGGTGATTGTATATCAAAGAAGCAAAAAAACATTACATTTATAGGTGATGGTATAATAAATATTTTCAGGAAAGAAGAGAATGATAAATTCACACTCAATATAAATTTTAGAAGTCTCTTAATGCTTTTGCAATTTAAATTTCTTTTGAGTTAAATACAGTAAAAAATATTTGGAACATATTTCACACAAATACATTGAACAATAAGCCAAAAATATAATAATTAAAATATTTTTACAAATAATATTGAGTTTAATAAATAATCAAAATTTACATAAGAAGCTTATATTCAATAAATTAAAAAGTAGCAAAAATCATTAGTGATAATAGCTCTCAAAGTTGAAAATATTTGTAAATCTTGTACATGAGATTAATTATTTTTTGAGTTTTTTTTTATTATAGTGACATTAGTTAACGAAATCTAGTGTTTCAAGTGTACAATTCATCTATAAGTCATTATATATTGCATTGTATGTTCACCCCCCATAGATTACTTTTTGTCATCACGTATTTGCACCCTTTTACCCCATCTATCAGCCACCTCCTCCTTACCCTCTAGTAACCGCTGTCCATGTCCATGAGTCTCTGTGCAATTGTCATGTTTGTTTATTGCTTTTAGGTTTATATCCCACACATAAGTGACATCATGTGGTTTTCAATATTTTCTGTGTGGCTTATTTCAATTAGCATGATCCTCTCAAGGTCCATAAATGAGATTAATTAAATGTAGAAATGCTGAACTCCAGAGCAGAGAACATGGCTCAAATTATGAAATGTCTAAATCCCCAAATCTCAGAATAACTGGATTCGTCTCTCAAACATTGTTTCTATTTCTGTTTTATTACAAATTAAAGCATCTAATGAAAGGAATATAATATTAGTATTTACGAGTGAAACATCTTGGTTTCATGTATGATTTAATTACATTCCCAGGACAGGGACAGTGGAAAGCATGCAGCCAACAGCTGCCAGCTGGTGCATAAGAAGCAGGCAGGCTACGCAGAGAAAGAGCGAGCACCTCTGAGAACAGCCTGGCTGTTCTACCACAGGCCTCCGGGGCTAGGTAACCACTGCAGACCTGTGGGCTGAGAGCATGGCCCATGAGTGCTCAGACACCATCGATATCTTCACGAACATCTGTCTGGCCTAAGTCACCCACATGGACCATTGAGGACATTGTTGAATGGTCAAGCTGGATGACCTCTTTGTGACAAATCATAAGTTTGCTGTGCCAAATCCCAGATGACTTGTACATCATAGATTCTATCACATGTGACTTCAATGACAAGGGTAAGGAAAGAGACATGGGGAATTTCTCTCCCAAAACTGTAAATGTGGCTGTGTCCTTAGCAAGGCCTGGCTCCCACTCAGTTCCTTCCAGGTTCCACTAAGCCAATTTCCTGTCTGCCTTCATATTAATAATGCTGAGCTTTAATATTAAGATTAGTCTCATTGATTTTTATTGAAAATTGTTAGAAGATGTTTATACTCAGGAAATCTAAGAGCCTATTTTAAAGAATATGTATCAAATTCATTCATGTTCTGACCTCTTTGCAACAGCCAAATATGTGTGCTCATAGATTGTGTGTGTGCCAGTCTGGGAGAGACAAAGAGAATTGGAAAATTTTGAGGAGAAGAGAAGGGTGTAGGAGAAATGTTTTAATTGGTGCATTGTAATCAGGCAACAGTTTTCCTAATAGCACACTTTAGCACAAACTCACACTTATTCTTTAAGGAATATGTATGTGTATAGGGGCAATAAGAGAAATAAAAACTGGGAATTTTCAGTAGCAATTAAATCCACAGTTTTTTAATTTAAAATTTTCTTTTCAGGAGATCATTTAATACTTAAAAATGGTTATCTATTTTAAATTTAACACATTTTGACCTAAGTGATATATAATAATCACAGATCATAAATGGTGGAAAGGAATGTATGTGGAAATAACAAATGGATATTACATGTAATTTTAATGGCTAGTTTCATGTGATATTGTGAATTTTGTCTCTAAACAGTCAATGTCTTCCTTTTCCTATGCAAGATGTTATTACAAATAAGCCTCTTTTTTAAGGACCTACTAAAGATGTAGAATAATGATATGAAGGTCTCATCGTCTCACGTAAGTTTGGTAATTTACTTGAGTAATACATAATATTATTACTTAGGAAATATTGTAATAAAAAACCGTTGACTTGAACCACCTTTTGAAAGTTTGTTAAATACTCTATCTAGTTCAGAAATTTAACCAATCACAGAACAGCAGAATCCTTTTCTTGGTAATTATATCCCAAAAAGCCGCCTTTACTTCCTTATTCCTGAGGCTGTAGATCAGAGGATTTAACATGGGGATCACCACTGTGTAGAACACAGAAGCCACTTTGTCCTGACTTATGGAGTAGCTGGAACTGGGTCTCAGATAAGTATAGATGGCAGTGGAATAGAACAGAGTTATAGCTGTCAGGTGAGAGGCGCATGTCGAGAACGCTTTGCGCCTCCCCTCCCCTGAACGCATGCGAAAGATGGAGAAGAGAATGTAGGAGTAGGAGGTGAGGATGACCAGCAGAGCTCCGATCATATTCACACCAGCAAAAATGGAAGTGGTGCTTTCATTCAGCCATGTGTCAGAACATGAGAGCTTAAAAAGTGGAGGGCTGTCACAGAAGAAGTGGTTGATGACATTGGAGCCACAGAATGGCAAGCTGCTTACACAACTTGTGTTTACCATGGAGTTCAACAGTCCTGCTGTAAAAGCCCCTGCTGCCATTTTAAGGCAGATGGTCCTGGACATGAGCATGGGGTAAAGCAGAGGGTTGCATATGGCCACATAACGGTCGTAGGCCATTAACCCAAACAGGATGCACTCGGTCGTGGCCAAGGCGATGAAGAAGTACAACTGCACAAAGCAGCCAACAAAGGAGATGGTTTTCTTCTCTGACAGTAAATCCACCAGCATCTTTGGGGTGATGGTGGAGGAGTAACAAACGTCCACAAAGGACAGGTTGGCCAGAAAGAAGTACATGGGTGTGTGAAGTCGGGAGTCAGCCTTGATTAAGAGGACCATGCCAACATTCCCCCAAACTGTAAGTGTGTATACCATGAAAAACAGCAAGAAGAGGGTGATCTGTAGCTCCAGTGTGTCTGCCAATCCCAACAGGATGAACTCAGTCACCACAGTATAATTTGTTCTAGTCATGTGTTACAAATAGAGTCTCCTTAAATTTGCATTAGGTGTAGATATTTCTCCCTCCAATATTTACAGGAAATCGTAAAAATGTTGATGAGGATATTCACACATGGGAAAAAACAAACTAGGATAATATAGTGTAGTAAATAGAGTGACTGAAGAAAGAGGAAAATTAGTGGACAAGTGGACAAGCATGTAAATGTATTGAGCAATTGTCTACTAAATCTGATTGTAGTCCTCTCAGAGCACTGGGCAAGTCCACACACTTCTCTTCAGTTTCTGAAAGGGAAATGTATGTTGTTCTAGTTTTTCTCTACCCTCCCACACTCCAAAATCAAAGGATACAAATTACCTGCTGAAATATCTCCCATTCTGTGAACAGGTGTGTGGGTTTAACTCAAATCTATTTTTTTCCCTCAAGACCACTCTATTTAATCTTTTACTCCAAAATTCTCATATAATCCAAGCAGTGAAAATAGTGACCATTTGAAAGGATCGATATTTCGGCATCTATTATATCCTAAGAATGTTTTTGTATTCTTTTTAAAGCAACCAAATAATTGTTTTCATTACAAAGCACATTATCAAATTGTCATGTAGCATCTGACACTGTACCTGTCCACCGCAGTGAAAAACAGCACCAAATCCTCAGTAGCTTCCAGTCCAGTCTTACTCGTGTAGACTGTGATTTTCTTTTTTATTATGAGTTCTCAGTTGGATTTTAAAAATGAAAAAAAGGAGAATTTCATTTCTTAAGTGAAATGAAATACAGTGAAATTTGCATGACTTATTTGAAAGATCAAGCAAGACACCTTCTGAGTAAATATATGATGCTGTACTTTTATTTTGTTTTCTGTAAAGATAAATGAGTAATCATGGGGACGAGATTATAGAGTTTATGGCGGAGTCAACCCTCTAAAGGAAACTCCCATTCTCAAGAGAAAAGAGAACACAGTCACATGGAAATACATGGAATCATGTGTTGCATCAAGAAGTCGATCCTGATCTCTGTGTTACTTTAAAGTCTTTTGCCAAAGTAAAAAGAAAAAAGTAATTACTTATTACCTTGTCTCTCTTTTTGTATTTTAGCCTATTTTAAATGGATGCCTAGCCCACTAACTGTTTATTATTTTATTATTATTCTTCCCTTTGCTAATGTGTGTGTCTGTGTGTGTGTGTATGTGTGTGTGTGTTCTGGTTAAGTTCAACCTTCAATTCCAATCTGTTCTTTAAAATTTTATTTTCCTATTAGTTTCAAGTATACAGTAAATTGGGTAGACATTTATATAGTTTCTCTCTCTGTCCTCTGCTTCTACACCTAGCCATTACATTAACGTTAACTGCATTTCTTATGCAGTGCTCCCCATCCCCGTGACCATCAATCAACTGCTTTCTACTTCTTTAACCCTTTACCCTTTTCTCCTAGTCCCCCAAATCCCCTCCCATCTGGCTATCACCAGATTGTCCTCTATATTTGTGAGTCTGTTTTTGATTAGTTTGTTCTTTTTGTTTCTTAAATTCCGCATGTAAGTGAAATCATATGGTATTTATCTTTCTCTGACTTATTTCACTCAGGATAAGAATGTCTAGGTCCAACCACATTGTTGCAAATGGTTAAGATTTCATTTTTTTAATGGCTGAGTAATATTCCATTTTATATATGAACCATAAAAACATATGGAACAGTTCACTAATTTGTGTATTATCCTTGGGCAGGAGCTATGCTAATCTTCTCTCTATTGTTCCAATTTTAGTATATGTGCTGCCGAAGCGAGCACCAACTCTGTTTTTCAGTGAAATTAATGAGAAAGAACTAAAGACATCCATTGTACAATGTTTAAAGAAATATTCCAGCAAATAGAACAAGAAATAAGAAAATCTAACTTTTTTATTATGTCAGATTTGTGTTGGTTTATTGCAATTATTGTCTGATTGTGATCCTACAAAGTCATGAAAGTACAGAGTTTCTAGATCTAAATACAGAATGAAAACAAAGTGAAATAAAACACACTGAGTGTCCATATGTATGGAGATTTTGTCTGCATAGAGAATGCATCATACATCAAGTTCTGTATTACACTTTTCCATTTAAATTCTCAATTTATTATCTATACCAGTCTTTGAGGAAGCATTATATTATACATTTTGCAGACGAAGTGAGCAAAACTTCAACTAATTTTTCAGGCTTAATTTGCTCCAAAAACCATTTGTTCATCTTTCTGACAGGGCAGGGTATCTCTAGAGCTCTCGCCCACACCAGATTTCAAATGAATCATTTTTTTCCCCACAGCCTTCTTCACACGCACATACTGACTTCATAAAAAAGTAAGCAACAGGGGTAGGGCTGTCTACTGGAATGCAAACCCGCTACGTATACATATCTAGCGGTTTCCTCATATCTCCATGGACGAATGAGGCGGTGAGCAGGATATGTTGATACGCTTCCTCTATCGAAGACCTCTGGCTTCTAAGCCTCCCCCAAATCCTGATTCTTAATCTCAAGTAAGTGGTGTAGGTTTTGCCTTCACCTTCCTCACCACAATAACTAATTGAAGTACCCATGACTTCTTTGACTTTTTCAGTCTTAGAGAAACATCTTATGGGATCATTTTCCTAATGAGGATATAATGTTCAAAGGTGCAAACATTACTGTCCTGCTACCAGTTACTCCTGTTGTGACAATATAGGAAAAACAGAGACGAGCATAGGTTACTGCAGCAGTAGCAAGTTTAAAAATGCTCAAGCAGGCTGATAATCCAGTTGGGGCAATTGCCTTCATGAGAACTGTTGTTTTCGGCATTTCCTTTGTAATATATTCATTTGTATTATATAAAAGTAAATAATTTAAGAGCTAAAATGTTGAAGTTAGAATTATTTTCAATACAGAGAAGGAGTGGGAAATATATTTTGGGTAGAGACATCGTAGTTTGAGACTCTTACATTCTGTTGTGTCTTTGCTACAGATGGTTAACTCCTCAATACCATAGTGATTTGTTTTTGCTAATCCAATGGACTTGTTTTGTCCTTTAACTTAATAATGTCTCTGAAAACTTTTACACATCTGTGCAACCTTCTTTCTACTTATTTATATACATATATATATGTGTGTGTATAAATATATATACATATTTTTTTTTCTGATTTTCTCATGAAATAATGCAGATATTGACTTTCACAGAAGGGAGCATAAGAGATAAACTAGCGTTCTGACAATTATAGTCTTTGACTGCATATAAATTGGGTACTCATCAAATAGACAATACAGTTTATGAAATATAGAGAAGTTCCATATTTTAACAGGTCACTTACTCAGATATTACCAAAAGAAACTCAATGTAAAAGTAGTTTAAAAGCATAATTTTAATGAGCTAAATATCTTTGTTAATTATTGAGTTACCTGATAGGATACCCATTTTTCTATTAAGATTTCTACAAATCTTGATTTTCTGAGATAAGATTGCTGCATACTCTATAATTTAAAAGTGTTTTAAAAACTATAACATCAACGATAGAATGAAGCCCTTAATTACAGAATCTACTCAATTGCATTCACAGGATATATTAATAACAGATTTTCTCATTTTTGGTACTTGTTTAAATATTTTTTCTTTTTTAATTAGCTAACAAATTTTTTAGAGCAGAAACCTTTACAATTATTAACATTCCATAAATATTTTTGGGTAAGTAAATGTACAAATAAACTTGATTATATTTTAAAAATGTAATTTAAGTCTTTACATAATACATCATTTTTCTCAATGATGAGATTCATGATTCATAACATTTTAGATTATAAACATTTTTCTGTATATCACTTATCTAAGGAATAAGTTCAAGATGCTAATATTTTACTCTGTTTATTCAAATTAATAAGGCAAATGCATGTAATAAGTTGTAAATTAAGCATGTAGGATCAATAGTTTATTTTATTTCTTATGCTAAAGTGTATATGTGGTTTGCTTTCTATATAGAAGACTGAAAAACATGTTGATTAAATAACTGTAATGTCTATTGATTTCTCTTGAGAGTCAATAAGAAATAACATAATTAGGATATATTCTGATGCTGAGCCTTGTATTAGCCCCAATGCAAAAGGTAGGAATTTGCCGTTATCAAGGGATTCATTACACTAGAGTAAAAAGAGTTGGGAAGGAGTTCTCTTATCTTTATCACATATTCATCAATTTTCTCTCAGGTTAATCTTTGCTTATGGTACTTATCCCTTCATTAATACTTGCTCTGTATTCTCTTTGTATTGAACCTAAAAATTTCACCAAAGGTTTTCGTTAATGAGGCTCATTGGGCATTCATTTTGAATGGTTAGTTTGTATCAAAAGGTGGTAATATTAGCATTACAAGTTTGTAGATTAACAAGGTGACATGAAGATACCTTCAAAAACAGTGGACAGACACATTTAATGTTATGTCTTCTTTTGCAATTTAATGGTTAAAATTTTATGATTGATTTGTTTAAATTTTTGTTCCAAAAATTTATCATCACAATTTTTTTCGATTTTCCTTTACATTAATAATGGGGTAGGATAAATCAGATACATTGCTTTTGGAGGCTCAAACAAAATTTCAATTAGTGTTTAAGATTTAATTGACACCTCATGATCAAAGCTAATAAAAAGAAGGTTAGTGATATTTGCTGTAAGATTATGTGAAAGACAATGATGTCTATAGTTGCCAATTGCTGGTAAAAATTCTTTGAAGGGAGCCGCTAGCAAAAGAAAGATAAACAATCAAAATGAAATTTAAAATATATGTATACAAGGAAGTGACTCATGAAAAGGGATAATAAATTATGATAATTAATAAATTAGCTTTTCTGAGTTGTTATATATAAGATTATCATTTAATCCAAAATTAGTTGCATTGCAATATCGCTACAGAAAATATTTAGGATTTAATTTTTTTAAAGATAACATTAATAATATACAAGGTCCTTAGGAAAATTAATTTAACAATAATTACTTATAACATGGAGATTATAAAACATCATTAAAATATTTTAAATAAATAATATAATGATACTATGTTTATGAGGAAGACTCAATATTTTAAAGACATAAGCTTTATAAAATTAGTCTGTAAATACAACACATTTACAAACAAAATTATACGAATGCTCTGAAAGTGCAAAGTTAAGTGTAAAATTTTATGTGAAATTGTTGTTTTATGTGCCCTTGAGTCAGCTCCCATTCCTGGTGACGCTATGAATGAGTGTGATGTCCATAATGTCCTGTCCACAACAGCCCTGCTCAGCAGCTCTAGACTCATGCCTATGGCTTCTTTTATGCAGATGATCCATGTTCGATTTGGTCTTCCTCTTTTCCTGCTGCCTTCTATTTTTCCCAGCATTATTGTTTTTTCTGAAGAACACTGCCTTCTCATGATATGCCCAAAATAGGAGAATGACAGTTTTGTCATTTTGCCTCCAGTATGTTTCAGGCTTAATGTGTTTTAGGAGCCACTTGTTCTTTCTGGTGGTCTAGGGTATCCTGAAAGCTTTCTTCCAACATTATATTTCAAATGAATTAATTTTTTTTCCTATCAGCCTTCTTCACTGTCCAACTTTTACATCCATACACAGTAATGGGGGATTTTGTAAAATTACTCAGAACAAAAAGACCACGCCGTTTCTGAATAAATATCTAGGAGCAACTGATGCCATTATAAAGAAAAGCTTGCCAATGAAGAAAGTTTAACATTGACTGTTGATAAGAATAGAGTCTAGAGAGTTCCACACACAAATGAAAAATTTAACATATCATAAGGTGTCATTCAAGATAAATGGAGAATGTATGTTTAAAAAAAGCAATGGGGGAAAATATGCTATCTGCATTCATAAAAGAAAAGATCTCTACCTAATACAATAGACCAAAAATAATCTCAAATGTGTTAAACATTTATATATCTGTCACCCACACTATCTTGGGGAAAGAAAGTTAAATGACTATAATAAGTGTTAGCAAAGATATGGAACCTGAGATCTTATGTGCTGTTGTTGAGAGTACAAATGTAAGGAAGAAATTTAAAAAAGAGTTTGTTATGTTTTGAAGTTGCACATATGTTTATCCTCAGTATGTATACAATCAGTGTTACATCTAGGGATATACCTGCATGAATTTTTGTATCTGTGCCTGAGTGACATGTAACATTCATATCCACATTGGTCATAATAGAAGATAATAGACAATTTAATTATGACACATTAAAGAAAAAGAATACTACAAAGCTGTGGAATTAGTGTGCAGGAATACATACAAATGTGATTGAATATTAGAAACATAATAATGAAGAAAAATATAATCAATATAGAAGACAAACTGTGTATGATAGCACATTTATAATATTGAAAATAGGTGTATTAAAATGTAGTTTTAAGAATATGAATGAATTTATTTTTAAAAGTGAAAGCTAGGGAATAATGAAAAAGTCACAAGAGTAGTTGTCATTCTCAAGAAAGCAGGATAATGGGAGTGAACACAGAATTTATAATTATGGCAATACTCGCTTTCCTTTTAATTTAATTTGGGAGGTGAGTTTATATGTGTTCATTTACTGTGTTTCCTAATTTACATATTTATTTTATATTTTAGAATAAACTGATATTTTATATTTTACGTAATATAAAAATAAAGAATTAAAACAAAAGAAAGTTGAGAAAAATTTTTTAACTTAGTGGTTGTTCAAGATGCCCAAGAACATCATCAGGTTCAATGATCCACAAAACTCAGAACCTTGGTACTTATGGTTATGGTTTATTACAGTTAAAAAAATTAAAATTGGCAAAGGATAAAGGTGTGTAGAGCAGTGTCTAGGAGAACCAGGTATGAGCTTCCACTTGTCCTTTCGAGTGGAATCACGCAGACAGCACTTAAAGCTTCCAGCAGTGTGGTCTGACAACTCCTGTGAAGGGTTGTCAACTGGAAATTCTTATCCAAGACTTGGTATGCAGAGTTTTATTGGGAGTCAGTACACAGACTTGGAGACAGAACATAACTCTCCATAGTTACTTAGTCTCCAACTACCCCAACCCAGGGTTCAAACTGACACAACCTTGCCCAAAGCCTTGTGTGTACAAAAACAGGCTTTCACCATAAATGACATCATTAGCATAATGTGTTTGCTCTGGCCCCCAGGATGCAATGATGCTCTTATCAGGCAGGGTATCCCAAGGTTTCTCTCAGGTCCCAGTCAAGATTTAGTCCTAAAGAACTTGAGAAAATGTAGAATTTGGGCAGCCAAGGCCAACTGAGTTAACCCTTTCCAGCACAGTCCCACATATGCAAATATTTAATTCAAGACTATATCTATTAATAACATTATATTTTTTGTTATTTATTAAGATCTATGTGATTCTTAAATATTGATTCATTCACTCCTTCCATCTTGTGGGCTTATTTTTTTAACTGTGTGACATTCACAGATTTTGTGATTATTCTCTGTTTGGTCCCACCGATGAAAATATTGACTAACCATAGCCTAAAAGCATATATTTCAAACATTTTTCAAAATTTTAATAAACTACTCAGAGCCACTGATAGAAAGTAAAACATTGAGAGATATCTGTATATTTAGGGAGTGTGGTAACAATAAACATCGAAGTGAAACAAAAGATGAGAAAAATAGAAGACAAAAATCAAAAGAGAATTAGTAGAAGAAAAAAAATTACACTCATAAGGGAGGGTTTAATAAATATTGTCATGTCCTAAAGAAGAAAAAGAATGATACAATCATACTCAATATAGAACTTAGAAATCTCTTAGATTTTACAATTTAAATTTATTTTGAATTAAAAAAAGTAAAATAAAATATTTAAAACATTTTTCACACAAATGAACAATAAGCAAGAAAATATAATAATTAATATATTTTTATAAATGATGATGTTTAAGAAATAATCAAAATATACAAAAAGTCTATATTCAATAAATTGAAAAGTAGCAAAACCATTAGTGATAATAGCTCCCAAATTTGAAAACATTTGCAGACCTTGTACATGAGAATAATTAAATCTAAGAAAGCTGAAATAGAGAGCAGAGAACACGGCTCAAATTATGATGTGTCTAAAACCCCAAATCTCAGAATAACTGGATTCATCTCCCACACATTGTTTCTATTTCTGTTTTACTGCAAATTAAAGCATTTAGTGGAAGAAATATAGTATTAGTATTTACTAGGGAAACATCTTGGTTCCATATATGATTACATTACATTCCCAGAACAGGGAAAGTGGAAAGCATGCAGTCAACAGCTGAGCATAAG